CTGCATTAATTCGAGTTCGAATCATTCACTCGATCAAGCCTACGGGCTATTCTTTAATTCGAGTTCGAGCAAACACTCACTCGACCAAATAGCCTACGGGCTGCATTAATTCGAGTTCGAATCATTCACTCGATCAAGCCTACGGGCTATTCTTTAATTCGAGTTCGAGCAAACACTCACTCGACCAAATAGCCTACGGGCTGCATTAATTCGAGTTCGAATCATTCACTCGATCAAGCCTACGGGCTATTCTTTAATTCGAGTTCGAGCAAACACTCACTCGACCAAATAGCCTACGGGCTGCATTAATTCGAGTTCGAATCATTCACTCGATCAAGCCTACGGGCTATTCTTTAATTCGAGTTCGAGCAAACACTCACTCGACCAAATAGCCTACGGGCTGCATTAATTCGAGTTCGAATCATTCACTCGATCAAGCCTACGGGCTATTCTTTAATTCGAGTTCGAGCAAACACTCACTCGACCAAATAGCCTACGGGCTGCATTAATTCGAGTTCGAATCATTCACTCGATCAAGCCTACGGGCTATTTTTTATCTCGAGTTCGAGCAAAAACTCACTCGACCAAATAGCCTACGGGCTGCATTAATTCGAGTTCGAATCATTCACTCGATCAAGCCTACGGGCTATTCTTTAATTCGAGTTCGAGCAAACACTCACTCGACCAAATAGCCTACGGGCTGCATTAATTCGAGTTCGAATCATTCACTCGATCAAGCCTACGGGCTATTTTTTATCTCGAGTTCGAGCAAAAACTCACTCGACCAAATAGCCTACGGGCTGCATTAATTCGAGTTCGAATCATTCACTCGATCAAGCCTACGGGCTATTTTTTATCTCGAGTTCGAGCAAAAACTCACTCGACCAAATAGCCTACGGGCTGCATTAATTCGAGTTCGAATCATTCACTCGATCAAGCCTACGGGCTATTTTTTATCTCGAGTTCGAGCAAAAACTCACTCGACCAAATAGCCTACGGGCTGCATTAATTCGAGTTCGAATCATTCACTCGATCAAGCCTACGGGCTATTTTTTATCTCGAGTTCGAGCAAAAACTCACTCGACCAAATAGCCTACGGGCTGCATTAATTCGAGTTCGAATCATTCACTCGATCAAGCCTACGGGCTACATTAATTCGAGCACAAGCAAACACTCGCTCGACCGTCACGCCCACGGGCTATATTCTCTTCAAAATCGAATCGTTGACAATTAATAAGTCTAAAGGGCTACATCGCCCCAAGTTTGAATAAACCCTCGCTCGGTTGCAGAGACCATGAGTTTCAAGTTTGATTAAGTGGTTTAATACATAGAGATATGCCTATACACAAAATTTATCTACATAGGTGGCTACAGCAAAAAAAAATTAAACGGGAGCGGTCTCTTCTTTATCAGGTTCCCCCCCGTTCTCGGATTCGCTTTTGCTCCCATCGTCGTCGTCATCATCATCGAAAACCAGAGCTTCAGCATCAGCTTTGAGTTCTTTTGCCCTTTTTATCTCTTCTGTGAGATCGAAGCCATGAGCATGAATCTCCTCGAGAGTTTCTCTCCTGGATCGGTACTTAGCAAGTTCGGCGACCCAATGCGCCCGACCATTGGCGGATTCGGCTGCCTCTCTTGCCTGAACTTGGGCAGCTTCAGCATCAGCCCGATAGACGGCCACGAGCGCATCCGCATAAGTCTTTGCCTTTTCAGCATCGGATTCGGCCTTGGCGAGTACTGAGGCCAACCGAGCCTCGAGCTCCTCAATTTTTCTTGCTTGAACCAGGCCTTTTTCCTTCATTTTCTGAAGTTGGGTTTCAGACGATGATAACTGGGCTCGAGCAGTCTCTTTTTCTGCAGCAAAGCGGTCCATACCTTCTTTCCACCGCAAGGATTCCATCCTTATCACATCGACCTCCTCACGCAGCTTCCCTATCATCTCGATTTTTTGCTGCAGCTGTGAGACCGAAATGTTAGCTACCGTTCTGGTATCGAACCCATAGGTTTTCAAAAGCATCATTACCTGCTCAGACAAATCATCCTAGTCTCGATAAGCCTTGGCCAGCTCGGCCCGGAGATCTTTTATTTCCTCCTCTCTCTGCCCTAAGGAAAGTTTGAGAGAGTTCCTCTCATCGGTAGCACGTTTCAGGTCGGCCGCGTATCGATGCAGCTCATTCTGGGAACGAGAACATTGTTCTCGATGGACCGCCGCAGCCTACGAAGGAACAAGAAGCGAAGTTAACGAAAGACGAACATAAAGGCAATACCAACAAAAAGATTTTTAAAAGACTCACCTGGTTCAAAGCCTGCCGCAAACCGTGAAAAAGATCTGATTCATCACCGGCACCGGCAACATCCTCGATACCAGTAAACAGGTCACGAAACGGATCCTCTTCATCGTGAGGCCTACCTAGATCGAGGGCCCCCAGAGCTTGAGCTTCCCGAATCACCCCTGCGGAAAAAGCGGGAAAGGTAGGCGAGTCCTCGATCGCTGCTGCCCCAAGTGACTCGCTTGGAGCATTCCCCTCGGCTCGGAGGGGTTCGAAGGGCTCTTCGATTGTAACCCCTGCCGGTTGATTCCGGTGAGAGGCGTCTTCGACATCCGATAGTTCGGGGACTCTACCAGAACCTCTCTCTGGTATATTTTCAGTTCGAGATGGAGCCCCATAGGGCATCATCGATCCAGCCGGCATTGAAGCATCAGTGGCTCTCTTCGTCCGGACCGCCAGCGTGGACTCATTATCCTCTTCCTCTTCTTCTTCATCCCTTAGGCGCAAAACGGATTCTACGGTCAAAGGAATAACATTCTTGTTCGGCTTACGAGCCGTCCTCTTCTTCGGTTTTGGATATTCGGGCAACGAAGCTCTCTTCCTTTTATTTTCCTTCACCGGCTTTGGGACGGAGGTAGAAACATCCTCCTCATTAGACAGAGGTCTCAAGACCGCGTCTTTACCCAAACCTGCATATGGGAAACCTTATAAAAAATATTTCGAGAAATGCCTTGCCAGAGTCCGAGAAATGAGCTTACCGTGATTTTTGGCCTCCCACCGACCCTTAGACAAATTACGCCATGAGCGTTCGGCGTATGTGGAAGTCGAAACAAGATTCCGTACCCAATTCTTGAGGTCGGGAACCGCTCCGGGTATCCAGGGAACCGCTACATCACGAAAAGAGGAGTGTCGATAAGAGAACAAATGAAAGAACAAAATAGAAGCAACAACAAAATCACACTTACGTTTCAAATTCCACTCCTCGGGAAAGGGCATCTTTTCAGTCGGGATCAGGTCCGAAGTCCTTACTCGAACGAACCTGCTCATCCAACCCCGGTCCCTGTCCTCGTCAATACTCGAGAACAAAGCCTTGGTAGCCCGACGCTGGAGTTTTATTAACCCTCCCCGAAAAAGTCGGGGACGGTACAGCCGGATAAGATGATCGAGGGTGAACGACATCCCCTCGATTTTGCTCACGAAATATCGGATCAGAATAACGATCTGCCACAAAGAAGGATGGACCTGGCCTAAGGTTACCTGATACTGTCGACAGAAGTCGATAACGACGGAATCGAGGGGACCCAAAGTGAAAGGGTAAGTATATACGTTCAAAAACCCTTTCACGTGAGAAGTGATGTCTTCGTCAGGGGTAGGTATTATCACTTCTTTTTTCCCCCAATTGCAGTCCTTCTTTAACAGATCGAGGTGCTTCTCAGTAATCGAACACATGTACCTCGATACCGGCTCACACCGGCCAGGGACCGATGAACCTTTATCAACTTTAAAATCTAAAGGACGCACTCCCCGGGGACACACTCCTCTGGCCGTGGTTCCACTGGTGTCTCATCGGCAACACACTGTGAAGATGAAGCTTTCTCTTTCTGAGGAACTGTTTGCGATGTTTTCACCATTTTTGAATTCAAAAATAAGGAGCAGAAGGAGGTGATAGAGATTTGGTAGAATTGAGGGATCCTTTCGGAAAGAAATCATAACTTTTTTGTAAGAAGAGAATGAGAAATTTTAGAAGATTGAAGATGTAAAATTGGTAAAAGATAAAGGTGAGAGTGATTTATAGGTTCAAAGCGACGGCGGTTCATTATCAGCAGTGGCTGACCACCGCCTGATATGCATTAAATGCCTTGGGAGACTAAACCGACAAGACAGCTATCATATGCGTCATGATCGAACCTGATGGAATCGACAGAATCTAATCCGATCGAGCTGTTAAAAATCATATCGTTTCTCGCCATATTTCTGAGAAACGAGGGAACTATCTGTATACGGTCGAAATGGATTTGGCATGTCCGGTACGGTTCGAAGGTTAATATATTGAAGTAAGATCCCGAAGGGGGGGGATCTAATCTAAAGCCTAGGAAGGCCGGTCCGTGTTGAGATCGATATCATAATCAAACTCGAACAAGAATCGAACCATGGCGCGGGTAGATCTATCGTGTAGATAATCCAAAAATCAACCTACATCGACCAGGAATCCGTTCGAGGGCTCGAACCGGGATCGAGCTCAAGTCAAGATCACAAGTTCGAACCGAAATCAAGCTCGAACGAAAATCGAGGGTTCTAAGCAAGATCGGGCTCGCAGACAAAAGCCGTTGCAATCCCACTAGAAGGAATCTTGGCAGAAAGTATGGAAAAGCTGATTTATCATGAGTTTCCCACTGAATGTTTATTTTATTATGCTTGGAGCCAAACCCCTTCACTATAAAAGGACTTGTTTATCATTTTTGTAAGGCAACTACTGAAGGACTTACACTATCACAAAATTGTATTATCCCCTCTATAAGCAAGAATGATCTTTCTAGTTTCTTAGATTGATTCTATTTTTGTTAAATCCTAAATTTTACTGTTCATAATTGATTGGCCTAGATTATGTTTTTCTCCAATCCATATTCATACTTTTATTTATCCTAGCATTCTATATTAAGTTGTGGCACGTATCTTCGGAACTACTCATAAATTCAACTCTATCCCTTTTTTCGGGAATACAATAGTATTTCTCTACTAGTTGTCTACTTTAATTAATGTGCAAATGGTGGAAGATTTTGTTCGATTGGTCAAAGCACGAATAGTATAACCTCCATGTCATCATCAACCTTATAGCCTCTTCTTTCTCCCAATAACAAAATGTTGTAATAGCCATTTCAGTCCCTCTTCTCCCAAGCTATTTCTTACTCTAATATCAATTCTCAAAATGTTAATGGATCCCGACAAGCATCCAACATTTTGCAAGGTTTTAGTTAAAGAAGGTTTTATGGACAAAATAGTAAGTTCTTTGTTTTTTTGTTGTTGTGCTCTTTTATTGTTTCTTTTTGGTTGTTGAGGTCTAAACTTGAGACTTTGATTATGTTAGCAAGTGCTATCTTGTTTCATCAAAAGACAACAAGAAGATGTTGGCAAAGACCTGCTTACTGAAAACGGATGTAGGGATGTTATGGAAAGCAAAGATAGTGAGGCAGAGGTCCAAGTACTTCAAGAAAATCCAGCAAAGCTAATATGGAGCTAAAAGAACCATCAAAAAAATCGAAGGAAGTAAAAAGGGCACAAGAAGAATTATCAGATTCTGAGGAAGAAAGTGTCGATCCATCCAATAGCTCAAAATATGGGGGAAACCCATGCTATTCACATTCAGGTAACATCTACTACATCTCTTTATACATTTGGTATGTTTGATTATTTTTAGTTTAGCTATAGATGCATGAGTATCGATGACAGACCACAATGAAAACAAATGATGCATATAGCATGGAAGAAGAAGAGGAAGAAGGATAAGACAATTGATTCTTCGAGAAAATCGAAGAAAGTAAGAATGGAGCCAATAGAATTATCAGATTCTGAGGAAGAAAGTGATGATCCATCCAGTGGCTCCAAAGATGGGGAAAAAATATGCTATTCACATTCAGGTAACTTCTGTCTCTTTGTACATCTTTCTGCATATTTCATTATTTTTATTTTAGCTATAGATGCATGAGAATCGATGACAAACCACAATGAAAACAAATGATGCATATAGATCATACCGACTAATGGGGGTTATATCCTAATTGTTCTTGTGCTTGTATTGAGTTTGCTAATTTGTTTCTACAAACTTAAAAAGCTTTTTTAGTCTACGTAGAGACATCGTGTGTCTGTAAGTTACATGAGACCCCTTTTTGAGTACGTCACGGCAGCCCTTCTTATCACTCCCCCTTCAACCACCTACACTCACCTTACCATGACACAACAAAGCTAGCTCATATCTCCTTGTTTTTTCCTCTCTCGTTCATTTTCTCAACCCTAAAAGTTTCATGATGAAAGGTGGCAGATCCGATGCCAAAGCTGATAACATTCTCAGCGTGAAGAATAAAGCTCTGCGACTAAAATTAAGGCTAAAGACGTGTGCCGAGGATCCTGAAAAAACTAAGAGGCCTACAAGTGCTTTCTATGTTAGGCGACGATGGAGGTCCGCCAAGGATCCTGACAAACCCAAGAGGCCAAGTGCTTTCTTACTCTTCATGGAAGAGTTTAAGAAGCAGTTTATGGAGGAGAATCCAAACAAAAAATATGTCTTTGCCGATTGTAAAGCTGGTGGATACAAGTGGAGTCAGTTATCAGATGCTGATAAAGCTCCCTACATAACAGAGGCACGGAAAAGGAAGGCCGAATATCGGAACAACATGGATGTTTATATCAGGCGAGAGGCAGAGAGAAGGAAGGCCGAATATCGATATGTTTATAGCAGGCAACTGGCTGCTGGATCTGCTGAAGAAGAGGAAGCTGACAAGTCAAGGTCCGAGGTTGATGAGGAAGAAGGAAGTGGAGAGGAAGATAAAAAGGAGGATGACAACTGATGAAGTTTTTAATGGATGAAGAAATTGGCGAGGAAGCGTGTGTACTATCTTTGATATATGGTTTCTTCTTTTTCCCCCTTAATACTTGCATTTGTTTGTTTCTGTTTATGGGGGGGTTAATGATGAATTTGTAGCAGCTGTTTGTAAAGCTCAATAGTTTATATATTTTATTTTGATGCTGCTTAATCACAGTTCAGCTAGGTGTTTGTCCTTCTTGGCTAGTATATATATGGATTTCCATCTAATTCGTCTCTTGCTTATTGTCTAGTTTGTTGTTAAGATATCTTTGTTGGTGATGTATGCTCTATTGTAGTTGGTATAGCTTTTCTATTGCTATATACTAACCAAATATGCAGAGATGTACTATGAAAGTTCAGGTGCAAAAGAAACAATGAAATGTGTGAAAATTCTTTATTCATAATTTAATTGCTTGAATGTTTCTCGGACATATTTGGAATCTCCATAAAGTTGGAGTTAGAAATCTGTAATATCACAGAACCTTCTAAAACAAATTCTTTCTTGAAATCCGTAATATCACATTCACAGGTATTCATGATGAATTAAGCAGATATAAGTTGGTTCTACAGTTTGACATATAACCTGTTGTTTCTCAGTTTTATAAAAAGGAAAAGGGTCCAATATATCCCTCTATTTTGGTATATTGTTCATATCTATCCTCCGTTATACTTTTGGGCATATCTACCCTTACCGTTAGCCAAACTTTTTTAAAATGCCTTTTACCTAACGGAAAGCCACATAATTTAAAAATAAAAACCTATTTTTTCAAAAACCCATTAATAACACGTTAAACCCCTTTTATTTACTGCACTTCTTCTTCACATATTAGTCATCTACTTCGTAGTCACTTGTTGAACTCAAGAAGTGAAAGACATAAAAATACCTACAACCATATATTCATTTATACATTGAGTCCCAATTCTTTTAATATCCTTATTGTATGTTTATTATATTCTACCTTTTTCAATTTTCTTTTTTCCTTCGAACTTCTCTTTGTTTTTTTTTCACCACGTCGAACTGTACCGAGTATTTATCATGATTTTTCTTCCCACCATGACTTGAATGTTTATAGCAGTTTATTAGGTTGGCACTTCTGAAGTCTTAAGATAGCTACCGAAGTATTTCTTCCTCTAACAGTGAGCTTTTGTTGATGAGTATTCACGCACCATGATTTTCTTATTCTGCTTTAAGCATTTGGACAACAAGTAATTATCGCCAAATCACGCCTTAAGAACCAAAGTTAGATTCCAAGATATTGGATGGGATACTCATAATCTTTAGTAACAATTGAACTTATAACGAACAAAAAATTAGAAAAATAATTAGAGGAGATTCAATCAGAGGCGGATCCAGGATTCGAAGGTTGCGGGTGCCACCATGTTATGCATACAGTATACATGTCAGTAGCTACAAAGACATATTAGGAATAATGAATCGGTTCGGTTACTTTTTGGTTAATTTGAATAGGCCTTTCATTCACAAAGCAAATAAGTTCGATTTTAGTTCAAATTTTTAATGCTTAATTTAAAAACATTCTAAATAAAAATACAAAAGAAAAATAACATTTCATGAAAGAGCGCCTCCAATATAAATATTTGCTTAAAGAGTACCTTAACTACACTATATATTTTTTATTTGACTAGGTTAATTTACTTGTATTATTCTTTATTTATTTTTCCATCTTAATTGTTGAGTTATATGATAATTATTTTCAAAGAAAAACTTTCAACATTCAACCTATGATATTAGATTCAAAATGACTATCAATCAAGCCATTTAATTTTTTTTTCAAAATCCAATAGAAGATATTGCTTAAATTATATTCTAATATATAAATTAATATCGTTTCATTAAAAATAAAGAAATTATATGCTAATTAACATCAATTCAAATTACCTATAGAAAATAATTGTTCATAAAGTAAGGTAAAATGATAGAAATAAAATGAGTACTGAAAGTTTAAAAAAATGAAGAAGAGAGGCTTAGCAAGTAATAAAAGGAGAGAAAGAACCGAAAAAGAAGGAAAAGATGGGAGGCCCTAGGGATCAAGCTGAAAATAAAGAAAATCTTAATAAGTAGAAAAAAAAAAAATCAAAGGAACTGCTCCAACAGGGAATCAAACTTGCATTCATGAGGCCAAGGAAAGCCTTCAAAGGAAAGGCTGAACCAATGGCACCCGCTTCCACTTTGTAACTTTTGGTTGCCACTCTATCCATTTATACGTTTCTTCACAGAGATATTGTATACATAGTAAGAATTTTAGCGAAGCGAGCAGGTGCCATGGTACCCCTACCTCATAAGGTAGATCCGCCCCTGGATTCAATTTAATATCAAGCTACAGTCCAAGAAATTCATCAAAAATAAAAGAAAGTACACCAACAAGTTGGAAAGCAACTTAACAACCTAAGTAACTTCATGTACTAACCAAACACAAGTATTATTAAAGTATATATCAATTGTTACTAACATACAAACCAACTGTCAAGTGTGCATTACAATAGACAAAGGGATGTCATATTATAACCACACACAAATAAAACAACCGAAAGTGATAACATGACATCCCAATACCACCATGAACAATTAATAACTAAAAATATAAGTTCTTACTAATCCTAATTTCATCATCATTCCCAATCTCTCACTAAATGAATAAAATGTGTTAAGACGTCTCATAAATCTAGGTTCCGTATTTTTAAAAGATGGGTTTAACGGGTTTGGGTTAATGATTTTTTTTAAATAATTATTTTATTAATCTGGTGGCTTTCCGTTAGGTGGAGGGTACTTTTAAAAAATTTGGCTAACGGTAAGGGTACATATGCCCCGATAGTATAACGGATGATAAATATGATTAATATACTAAAGTAGAGGGGTATATTTGGCCCTTTTCCCGTTATAAAATGACCATCTTCTGCCTGCTTCGGGCTACTTTCCGCTTGTTGCTTCAGTCCTGAACTGGTTTGCTATCAGCACGACTTGTCAAAACGGAGGAAGGAAGAAAAGAAACAAATAAAAGGAAAAGAGAAAAGCTACACAGGGTCCAGTAATTTCCTCCTTTTGTATTTACTAATAAACTAGATATCTGCGATGAAGCTAAAATGTTCTTCGACATCGATCTATCAAATTTCCTTCAGTTTTCACGAGTTAAACTGTTAGGTTTTGTTTTTAAGATGAAATATTCTTAAAATGAGGGTGAATGGGAAATGGAGGAAAAATGAAATTTTGAGTAAAATTTTAAGTTTTTCTCTCTTGACAATGAGACATTGTCCCATATTGGAAGAGGAAGACATTTTTGGTGGGTATATATATAATTGCTCTTCTTGTAGCTCTTAAAGAGTTAAGAAGAAAGCAAGCCTCGCGCCGTCGTCGTCATCGCTCGGCTTCGGCTACGGCTACGGCTACGGCTACGTTTGGTCTTCTTCAACATTTTGCTGCTATATATATGTGCAGCAGATGTTGAAGAAAGACACTCAACACACAACACACAATTCGCTCAACAAATTGGCTATACATTTGCACTCCTTCCTCTCAGCATTTCCATACGATTTTCTGAGTATCTACTCCTTCGTTCTACATTATTTTTTAACTTCAAACAAAGCAACTGTAAGTGTGATTTGCTACCGAACTTTGTGTTCG